CAGGAACTACACTGTGGACCAGGCTGGCCTCAAATGGCCTGTCTCTGCCTCCCAAGTGCTGGGACTAAAGGAGTGTGTTACTCCCTGCAGCTCTAAAAAGTGTTTTTAAATCTTATTTTAAATCCATTTCGTTATCAAGGTATTTTTATATTTTAATGCATATGTGGCATTATATATGGACATTTAGAGATTTATTTATTTTATTTATGTGTACAAGTGTTTGCCTATGTGTATATTTGTGCACCATGTGCATCAGATCCCCTGGAACTGAAGGTATAAATGATTGTGGGCCACCCATGTGGGTTCTGGGAATTGAATTCAGGTCCTCTGCAAGAGCAATCAGTGCTTTTAACCACTGAGCCATCTCTCCATCCCTGTGGCATTATACTTTCTCTATTGTTATTACTTACTTTTGTGTGTGTGATGCAATTGAATCCAGGCCCTTGTATATGCTAAGCAAGCTCTCTACCACCGAGCTACACGTCCAGCCTTGTTTTAATTTTTGAGACAGCCAGCTGGCCTGGATCTTGGTATTTAGACATGTTGTCTCTCGTCTCAATACCCGCTGTCTAAACCTATGGAATTCTGGTAATGCTACCATGCCTAACTCCAGCTGGATTTTTGTGACAGGGATTACATAGTAGACACTAGGGCCCTAAATATCATTCTTTCCTTTTAAAATAGATTTATTTAAGCCAGGCATGATGACACATACATTTTATCCCAGAACACTGGAGGCAGATCTCCTGGGACTGGAGTTACAGAATATTGTGAAAATTGCTGGGAATTGAACCCTAGCTAGCTAGGCTCGACCCCCAACCCTACCCAGATCTTCTGGATAACACAAATCCTCACTCCACAGCCAGATTTAAAGCCCAAGTCAACAGGTGCCAAGGTAAGGGGCCGCCCAGTCCCCTCCTCCCTCCCGCCCCCTCCACTCCATCTCCCTTCCTCCTTCCCGCTTAGCCCAGTCTCACGCCTGGGTGGCTGGGGGCGGGCTTTATCTGACCGCGTCCTTTGATTGGGCCGCCGAGGGGGCGTGGCATGGCAGGGCAGGACTGTGCAAAAAGAGCCCAGTGGAGCCCTGGCCTCTGCGCGCCAAGTTTGGGCTCCCCCGGACGCGGCGTGTCACGTGGTCTGTGGGCTAGTTCCCAGAGCACGTGTTGGGCTGTTGGGGCTTGGCGGCTTGTCCTAGACATTGCGCTGTCGCTTTCCGGGAGGCGGTGGGGCTCGGGTCCTTCTTCGCGCGCTTTCCAGGAACTCAGCGATCCACCTGCCTCTGCTTCACGAGTGCTCGGATTAAAGGCGTGCGCCACCACGCCGCCCTTAGCCCCTTCCCTTCCGTAAAGGCCGGAGGACCAGCAGTGTAAGGCCAGAACCTGCTACCAAGTGGATTGGAGACCATCCTACACCGCAGGTTGAGACCTTATCACAAAAATTCACCCTCCTAAGACTAGGTATGTAATGTCTAGTCTTTGCGGTTGTTTTTGTTTTTTGAGGTGGGGAGTCTCAAGTAGCATATGCTAGCCTCGAACTTGCTGTGTAGCCAAGGATGACTTCCGATTGTACCTCACCTCACCAACGAGAGCCATCACTCCTGGTTTATGGGGTGCTGGGGTTGGAACTCCTTGATTTTACACGTTAGTGAAACTTCTGAGGTGTGTCTCTAGTTGTGTAGCAGGTCCCTGTACGTCTGCAGTGTGTTTCCTTGGTCTAGGGAGACGGGTTGGGTTGTAGTGTTCTCTTAGCCCATTTGCCTCTGTTTCAAGGTCAGGAAGTTAGGTGATTCTTTGTTAGCTGAAGCAAGCACAAATGTGTTTCTTTATGTCAGGCAGTTGCTGGACTGGAAACACCAGTTTATGCTCCTTACAGAATCTATTTTAAATATTTTTCCTTGAGGGAATGTCGAAGGGAGGTGAATATTTGTGTTACCTGGGGGTTCTGGGAAAAACCAAAAGTAAACAAGTTCAGATCCTTGTTTTATTGCATGACTTTAGTTAGGCTAAGTAGCTCCAGACAAGGCCACCATGCCTGCCCCTACTACAACTTAAAGGCAGTAATAGTATTGAATATGGGCCTTGGCAAACCTATAGACCTTAATTTAAAACAAAAAACGTTGCTTGTTTTCAACAGTTAGCTAAAAAACGACTATTTGAGGCACACACCTTTATTACCAGCACTTGGGAGACAGAGGCAGGTGTATCTACAGAGTGAGTTCCAGGACAGCCAGCACTGTTAAACTTAACATGGAGAAATCCTGTCTCAAACAGTTGCATGGTGGAACATGCCTTTAATCTCAGCAGTTTTAAACCCAACATTCTGGAGTCAGAGAGAGGCAGGTAGATCTCTGAATTTGAGGCATGCCGGGACACACACATACATACACACACACACACACACACACACACACACACACACACACACACAGAGCAAACAACAACAAAACACAAGATGGGAAATTTCAGGGAGATGAGAGGCTACTGAGTTGGGGGAATGGGGATAAGGAGGCCATCCCTGCAGCTTCCCCCGAGGGTTTAGGTAAGTGCTACTCATGACCAGTGTCTTTGATCAGAAAAGCCATTGCTTGTGGGCCAGTGTGCAGCTGCAAGTGAGTCAGAGGACCAGAATGGGGATACTGGTGGTACCTAAATGGAGATACCTTCTTTCTGAGGAGAAGGGACTGAATGTTCCTTGCCTAAGGAAAAGAGGTCTGATCTCCAAAGAAGAGGACTCCAAGTGGACCTTTGTTCTTCCTGGTTAGGAGGTATCAGTTCCAGCGTAAAGCAGTTAATGATCAATGAAAATGTTGCCCTTTGGGATTCCAGGAACAAAGTTCCCACGTGACTGGCGTGGATTCTGGTTCCAACTTGCCAAGGGCCCAGAGAGGTGCCTGGATTGCCTTGGTGCTGTTCTTTAGGGAAGAAACTTTTGGTGTGTTTGCATGCATTGCTGAGGTTATTGTAAACCCCAGGCCTGCTATTACAGCTGCAGAAGCAAAATTGATTCTTAGGTGTTTTTCATGTGTGGCATATATGTGTTTGACTCCATATCTGTGTTAAAATAACAACTACTCTGAAAGTCCTAACGAGGAATTTTCTGTTTAAAGATGATTGACCCTTTGCCTACCTCTTCCAGAGAGAGGAGGAGCCCTATTGTTTGGGACTATTTTTGTAGTTTGCTCCTTGGTTTTGTCTGTCTGGGAGTGTGCCCTCTTGGAGAGTAGTAGGCTCTTGGCCTATGAGCTCATGATTGGCTAGTTTTTGTTTTGTTTTGTTTTTATTCAAGACAGGGTTTCTCTATGTAGCTCTAGCTATCCTGGAACTCACTCTGTAGACCAGGCTGACCTCGAACTCAGCTCCACCTGCCTCTGCCTTCCCAGCACTCAGTTCTTCACCTGCTTTGTTCTTAGGTGTTCATTATTTGTGTTGGTCTGTGGTCCTTTTCCACCAGAGGAAACTCTGTAAAGGCAGGGCCCCCAGTTGGATTTTGTGGTGATATTTTGTTTGTGATCTAACAAATAAAGCTTGCCTGAAGATCAGCCTGCCAAAGGCACCAGGCAGTGGTGGCACATATTTAATTCCGGCACTAGGGGGTCACTCACCTTTAATCTCAGCATTAGGGAGGTGGAGAGGAGAGTGATGTGGTTGGGCTGAGAGGGGAATATAAGGTGGGGGAGGCAGGAGCTCGTTGCATTCAGTTTGAGTATTTGTAGGTTCAGAATCACCCCTTTGGTCTGACGGCTCAGTAGAGGTAAAAGGTCTCTTGTGTCTGGCTCCTTTACTTCTCAGACCTTTCAGCATCCGCCCCAATATCTGACTCCAGGTTTTTATTATTAAGAGCTATTAGAACTCGTGCTACAAGATTTATTGACCACAGCACCAAAAAGTAGTAGCTGTTGGAAGGTCCTTAACTAACTGTCCTGTAAATAAAGTTTACACAAACTAACAGAAAGAGCCAGGAGGGTTGCCAGCCATTGGGTAAAGGAAGAGCTATGCATGTAGTGGGTTTGTTTTGCTTTATTTTATTTTTTTAAGACAGGGTTTATGCATATCCTCAACTGTCTTGGAACTCTTTGGAGATCAGGATGGCACCTGCCTCTGTTCCCCCAGTGTTGTAATTAAAGGCATGTGCTACCACACCCAGAACGAATGCAGTGTTTCTATTTTACATTTATTTACTTTATTTTATGTGCATGACTGTTTTGCACAACACAACTTGGTGTTGAATGCCTAATCAGAAGAGTTTCTTTTTTGTTTGTTTGTTTTTTGTTTTGTGTGTGTGTGTGTGTGTGTGTGTGTGTGTGTGTGTGTGTGTGTGTGTGTTTTCGAGGCAGGGTTTCTCTGTAGCCCTGGCTGTCCTGGAACTTGCTCTATAAGACCAGGCTGGCTTCAAACTCACAGAGATCCAACTGCCTCTGCCTCCTGAGTACTGGGATTAAAGTCGAGCGGCACTACAGCCTGGCTCAGAGGACTTTCTTAAAGCAAAACTCCAGATGGAGTGAATAGTGCAGGCTTAATTATAAAATGTTTGCTGCAAGTGGTGGAACATGCCCATAATGCTGGCATTGGGAGGTGGAAGGAGGAGTAGCTCAAGGTCATTTCTAGGCCCATGCGAGTCTAAGGCCAACCTGGACCATGTGAGGAAAAAAAAAAATCAACTATAACATGCTGGTGCTGGGCATCTTGGAAGAAGAATCCCAGTTGTCTGTGCTTTCTGTTAATTTGTGTGTCTACCTGAAAGTCTGAGAAGTTGATAAGTATGGAATGTGTACTGTTTTACAAGAACTTACCAGTTTTCTGCCAGTGGAACTGGTTTAAGTAAAGGGTCCAATTGCTCATTTACAGATTACTTCTTCCATTGTGGCTGTTCTGGATACTGTGGGAGACTAAAAAAGACCAGTGTTTATCTGGCAGTGCTGGGTTCAGTATAGAGCCATCCAAGAAGGCCTTCAAAGGAGGAAGCTTTAGGGCAGAGAGCTTTGGAATGAGGAAAATCTGTTCCAAAGTTCAGAAAGGAGCCCCAAGTGAGTTCCAGGGGTTTATGTTCCTGCTTACTCAGCCTCCCCACCACCACCACCAAAAAAAAGTGTATCGGCCACTCAGGGGAGACTTGCAGGGGTTGATGTTGTTGTGGGACCCACATGTACTTTCTCCTTGCTTTAGGCAACTCTGAACCAGTGCAGCAGCAACAGCAAACATGGATATTACCCTGTGGACCTCTCATGAGAAGATGTTGACACAGCCCCTCAAGGATAGTGATGCCGAGGTGAGCACCTTCATGGGCTTTTATGTTGGCAGTGCTATTTAGATCACTGTGGGACTGTGGGTTTTTTGTTGTTGTTTGGTGGGGATTTTTTTTGTTTGTTTCTTTTTTTTTTTTTTTTTTTTTTTTGTGCTGTGAGGGGTAGAACCCAGGGCCTAACACCTGTTAGGCAGATGTCTCGACTACTGTACTAGACTCCTGGCCTCCAAATTGCTCATTAGGATGCTCAGTTGACTGTGTACAGACAGATTGAGGCTGGTGTGTAGTGTGGTGGAGCATTTGCTCTCCCAGTTACAACTCCCAACACCACCAAGGGAGCAGATTGAGAAGCTGTGGCTGATGGTCCTTCGGGGATAATGTAGGTATTTCTAAGCTCAGTGGTAGGTGCTCTAGAAAATAGGAAGAAGGTTGACCCTCCTTTACACTGCCCAGGAACAGACATGCTCATGTGCCTACAAGCAACTTGATTTTATAGTAGTCTTGTTGATATATTTATTTATTAGTTGTACAGTCCTGTGGTTTTAGGGTTCAGTGGTCCTCAATTTATAATTTAGTTATGTTTTAATAAACACACATAAATTGAACATAGGTCAAACTGTACCGAGTCTACTTCTTACCTGTCACATATCCAGACTTTGGCAGTGTGGAGCATGATAGTCAGCTTATCCCCAGGATAGTCAGGAGTGTATCCCGTCATGGGATCACTGGGCATTGCTGCTTGCTACCACTGCCCAGCATCGGGTGGAGAGTTCAGAATCTCTCTGGCCAGGAAAAAGAGACCTGTTCAAAGCTTGAAGTTGTATCTACTTGGTGCCTAGTGCTTTGCCTCTCTCAAAAGCTGAGAAATTTTATGTCCAGCAGCATATATACTCAAAGTGAAGTGTAGAACATTTTTATACCTGGGAATCCATGTGCAACTACCCTATTCTCCCTAAATTTCCCAACCGTGGGCATCTATTAATGGAGTTTCTGTTCCGCTGTATTTGCTAAAACATTTTTTGGAATAAGGTTCATGGAGATAAGAACTTAGTAAAATGTAAGGATAGAATTAAAAATTAGCTGGGGGTAATGACCACACATTTAATGCTGGCAGAGAGGCAAGTGGATCACTGAATTAGAAGCCAGCCTGGACTATATTCCAGGCCAGCCAAGGCATATAGTGAAAGCTCATCTCAGCAAATAATCAAACAATAAAAATTAGGCATGATCCTAAATCACATTGTTATGCTATCTGAGGGTGACCCTAGGCCTCTGGTCATCCATCTTCACTCCCAGATGTTGAGATTATAGACTCTTGCCAGTGGGTCCTGTTCATTTTGTTTTAAGTTTATTTTTGTTGCTGTTTTTCTAATTAAACTCTGTATGGCCAAGGGTAATCTTGAAGTTTCTGATTCTGCCATTTTACATCCTAAGGGCTGAGATTTCAGGCATGTGCCACCCTTCCCAATTTAGTCAGTGCTGAGGATCAAACCCAAGGGATTATGAATGCTAGATAAGCCCTCTAGCAAGTAGGCTACTATCCAACCTCATGTCTGTTTTCTTCTGATAAGGTTTACAACATTATTAAAAAAGAGAGCAACCGGCAGAGGGTTGGATTGGAGCTGATTGCCTCGGAGAATTTTGCCAGCAGAGCTGTGTTGGAGGCCCTGGGATCTTGCTTAAATAACAAGTACTCTGAGGGGTATCCAGGCCAAAGGTGAGTGAGTGTTTAAAGTCCTGCTTTGATCATTTTGTTTTATATTTCTTGTTATGTGGTTCAGGCTGACCTTGAACCCTAATTCTCCTGCCTCAGCCTTCCAAGTGCTATTGTGGTTTTAATTTATAATGCCTGGCTTTCAACTAATATATAACTTTCAAAAACTTGTAGCTTCCTAGTTGTAGGGTTGTCTTCCCTTCTTGCTCTGTGATGTAACTCCCTCAATTCTTTGCTTGGGTGGGATTCTGTGATCTTTCTCAGAGAAGTCACACCCAACAGTCCCTCCTCCCTCTGGGGTCAAGTGGTTATAATCAGGCTTGTCTATGAGAGATGTAGTCTAGGCTCTAGGAAAGGTCATTGTCCTGAGAGAAAGCTACAGAGAATGGCTTGCTCTGAGAACCTTTGAATCCAGGAAGTGAAAAAAAAAAACCAACCTGTATTGCGGGCTCAGTATCCCTCCTCTAAAATGCTTATAGTCAAAAGTGATTTTCATTAAAATTTTTCCATTTGATTCTATATCTAAAACTAGTGCTTCAAAACTTGAAACTTTGGGTATTTTGTGAGTCTTACTATGTAGTCAATATAACTTGGTGTGTGGACCAGACTGGCTGCAAACTTGTGTTGCTCCTCCTGCCTTTGTTTCTCAAGTGGTGGCTTGCAGGCATGCACCATTATGCTGATCTTTTTTTTTTGTTGTTTTTGGTGGTGTTTGCTGGGAGTTGAATTTAGGATCTAATGCACATTAGACAAGTCTCCTTAGACACTCACCACATTGAAACCAGTTTGTTGAGACAGAATCTCACTGCATAGCATAGGCTGGATCCTCTATCTATCCATCTCTCTGTCTCTCTATTAATCACAGTCAAAATAAGGCAAAGAAGATACAGGAGTTGACAGTGTTTTTACATGTATGTAGGTGTTTCTATGGAAACAGGAAAAAAGGGAGTCTTGAAAGAATACAGTGCATTCTGTCCTGAGGTACCCTTGTTTCTTTTCCCTTCCTTCCCTTTTTTGAGGGGAAGGGGGGACAGATATAGTACTAGCCTGGAATGCCTCCTGCTTCTGCCTGCCAAGTAAGTGCTGCTTAAAGGTGTGTACCACCAGGCCTGGCCTAGCTACAAATATTTCACTATATCCTCACAGCAGCTTAGAGCAGGACTCACTTCCCCCCACCATATTCTACCCACCCTTGGTGTCTTTGGCCTCTGTTAGGCACAGAGACTGAGCCCAAGGTAGATGTGGACCATGGTTCTCTTTACAGGTATTACGGTGGGACTGAGTTCATTGATGAGCTGGAGACTCTGTGTCAGAAGCGTGCGTTGCAGGCCTATCACCTGGATCCTCAGTGTTGGGGAGTCAATGTCCAGCCTTATTCAGGTGATCATTGCATCCACATAGACCCTGGGTAGTTCATAGGCCTAGGTCTATGGTGTTACAGCCACCAAGTCAAGTCCTACAAAAGGCTCCTCATAAATAACAGAGCAAGCCAAGGAGTATGTATATCCATCTCTATTGCCCTTGGACATACTTAGCTCTGCACTGCCAAGTAGCATTCTGCATTGAAACTTAGGATCAGTGGGATTAGGACAATGTTAACTTTCTAAGGCTCAGGAAAATCATGGCGATAACCTGCTGACTGTCTAATAACCAAGCTCCTGGATGCCACTTTGTGACTCATGACCTCTTTGTTGTCCCCATTTCAGGCTCCCCTGCAAACTTCGCTGTGTATACTGCCCTGGTCGAGCCCCATGGACGTATCATGGGCTTAGACCTGCCAGATGGAGGTCATTTGACTCATGGCTTCATGACAGACAAGAAGAAAATCTCTGCTACGTCTATCTTCTTTGAATCTATGCCTTATAAGGTAGGGTGGGGCGTGTGTCTCCTCAGAGCTTTCCTTATGAGTTGGCATTTGCACAGCACTGCTGTAGCCCCTTCTACCAGATCTCACCTCCTTGCCTCAAGGACTCTTCAGTCTCTTGGCACTCTGGGGACCATAAGGAAGGGGGACTTAAGGTTTGGGCCAAGGCTATGACATGATGGGAGCTATGACTGAGAAAGGATCAGATAGCCAGACTCCTAACAATAGCTGATGGCACCAGCAGGCTTGCCATCACCAAGATCAACAGGTACAAGGATAGCAATGTCCCCATCTCTAGAATCAATACTATCAGCTTCTAGGTGGTGTGTATTGGTTGTATGAGTATTTGCCTGACAAATATAAAAGATGTGTGTGTATCTGATGGCTAAAGAGGTCAGAAGAGGGTGTCAGATTTCCTGGAACTGGAGTTACAGACAGTTGTGTGCATGTGTATGGGTGCTAGGAACTGAATCTGGGTCGTCTGTAAGAACAGTCAATACTCTTATCTGCTGAGGCATTTTTCCAGCCCTTATCTGTATTATTTTGGTTAGTTGGTGTCTTACTCTGTAACCCAGGCTGACTTTGAACTCATAATAATCCTTCTGCCTCAGCCACTAGCTGAGATTATAGGCGTGGCTGTGCCTCTCTTTTTTCCTGGGCTTTTGTTCTGTAACATGGTTTAGTAGCTAGGGCTAAGACTCCCCTTTATCCTGAGGCCCCTCTGATGGCTCCCAAATCTGTGTTATAGCTGGCCTTTTATACCTTTGTGCAGGCTGAATACAGTGCCCTGCTTCAGGTCCTGGTCTGTGTTGTGGCAGATTGAATTGGCTCAGCTGGGTGGGCAGGGGTCACTGTGTGACCAGAGGAAGTGGCCAAGCCTGTGTCTTCCTGCTTCCGATAGGTGTACCCAGACACTGGCTACATCAACTATGACCAGCTGGAGGAGAATGCCAGCCTCTTTCACCCAAAGCTGATCATTGCAGGTGAGTGGCAAGTGGAGCAGCCTGGTTCCTGGGCAGGACCTCTGTGTCCTACAGAGAAGGATAGATAGATATCCTCCAGTTCACTGTGCAGAGCTCAGGACTTGACTTATTCTGTCCTTTTAAGACTTGGACTGTAAAGAGCTATTTTTCCAGCCAGACTGCTGCCATCTTCATGAGGTCAGCTCTGCCTGCTTTCAAGGGTCCATCTTGATTTGGTATGTGGAAGGCTGACATTTGCCCTCCTAAAAGGAGGGAGCCAGAAAGGCCATTGAACCCACTTGAGTGTCAGGCCACTTCTTCCAGCCATCTGCAGTTCCTCCCTGAGTGCACATGGCCTCCATAAGGGGCTAGAGAATCTAGGCTGGTTAGCTTGGGGGAAGGGAGCTTTCTTTATACTGTTATAGAGAAGGCATCCATGATTGTGAGGACTTTACAGGACAGCTGCATTTGGGTCACCTACACTTCTGTTACTAATCTCACCCATAAGTAAGCCCAATAAGCTCTGGTTTCCCAGGGTGAACTTGTACTTGGGTTTATTATTGACCATATAAGGGAAAGATAGACCTTGTTCATGTCTTGCCATCAATAGTGTTTAGTGGGTTAGTGCTTCAAGCCTTAGGCTTTTCTTAACATGTATAAAAACACAGTTGTGGTTTTATTTTGTTTGATTGGTTGATTGTTTTGAAACAAGTTTCATTGTGTAGCCCTGGCTGGCCTCAAAGTGAGATATCCACTGGCCTCTGCATTCCAAGTGCCAGGATTATAGGTGTGTACCACCACACCTAGCTCAGGGATGGTTATAGGGCACTTTGCACATCTGTCCTCAAAGATCAGGGGGTGGAATCTCCTTTCAGATCTGTGCATCAGAGGCTCGATCAGCTGCTCTGGGCATCTTTGATACTACCATGTTATCTCCTCTGTCTCAGGGACCAGCTGCTACTCTCGGAACCTGGACTATGCACGTCTGCGAAAGATTGCTGATGATAATGGGGCATATCTTATGGCAGACATGGCACACATCAGTGGGCTGGTGGCAGCTGGTGTGGTACCCTCCCCTTTTGAACACTGCCATGTGGTAACCACCACAACCCACAAAACCCTGAGAGGCTGCCGCGCTGGGATGATATTCTACAGAAAGGGTAAGTTCCCATATTCTGGGACAGGCAAAGGGTGGGCTAATGTTTCCTGTGTGGAAGAAACCAGGAAAACTCTGTATAGGTTTCATCATTTTAGTAAGGTGTTTCTCTTCCTACTACCTTATACCCCACCTCTGTATATACTTCCCTTATGGTGAAAGTCATATCAAAAGTTAAGTAGCCATAGCCTTGGAGAAGCTGATAAACTAGCTGGCCAGTGTGTCTTACCCGGTGGGATCTTACTGCTTTAGCCCACCCCACCCTATTGAGGGCAAGTCCTAGTCAGGTTCCTCCTCAGTCTCCCAGGTTCTGTGGCCTCTGAGGACCTTTGTCAGCTTGCTTGGTGTGGAGTTGTTGGGTTTGTTGTTTCTTCTTTGCTTGTTTTGGTTTTGAAACATAGTCTTCTTGTCTCAGCTTGTCAAGTGTTCAGATTATAGATGTGAGGCAGAAGCTAGGTTCCTGGGTTGGTATTTAAGTCACCCGACACAGACCTTTGGTGTGTCTGGTGTGTGCGGTGGGATTTGTTGGCCCTCAGCCAGTCAGCCTCTTCTGCTGTTGCATCATCTTGGGCTACAGGCAGCCTATCTCTCCTCAGCTCTAGAGCAGAGAGTGCTAGAGTAGCACCCATGCCTCCAGATGGTTTTGGGGATTCATTGAGTTGACACAAAGTACTTCTGTGCCAGTTCTTTGGCTTACAGTGTAGGTGTCTGTAACACTTAATCACTGAATAGGCGGTATCTTTCGTCACTTTGCACACAAGCCCAGTGACTGAGTTCAGTCCCAGAATCCACATGAAAGTGGAATGAAAGTAAAGAACCAACCCCAAAGTTGCCCTCTGACCTTTACCATGGTACCTGCTAAAGTACATGTGTGTCCACATGCATATCATGCCCATTCACAGTAGTAGATTTGTGGGCTTTTTGTTTTTGAAGCAGGGTTTCTGTGTACCCTGGCTGTCTTGGAACTTGCTCTGCAGACCAGGCTGGCCTCAAACTCAGTGATCCTCCTGAATGCTGGGATTAAAGGTGTACACCTTATGCCCTTGCTATAGTTGTGTGTGTGTGTGTGTGTGTGTTTTTTTTTAATTAAAGAAAAAAAGGGGGGCAAGCATGGTGGCCCATTCCTTTAATCCCAGCCCTCAGGAGGCAGGCCAATCTCTTAAGTTTGAGGTTAGTCTGGTCTACATAGTGAGTTCTAGGCTAGGCAAGGCTAAAAGGCAAGGCTGGCTCAAAAGTTCCATCTTCAGGGACCCTTGGCTCTAGCATTGTAAAACAGCTTTCACTACAAACCAACCAGTCCAGGCTGACATGGGACTGACTGCACATATCATTTTGGCTGAGAGGCAAAGGAAACTGGTCTGTTAACATTGTAATTTCTTTACCAGGTGTGCGTAGTGTGGACCCCAAGACTGGCAAAGAGATTCATTATGACCTGGAGTCACTCATCAACTCTGCTGTGTTTCCAGGCCTACAGGGGGGCCCCCACAACCATGCCATTGCTGGTAATGTCACCAAGACTATTGTATAGCCCTTGGGTTGCTCCCAAGCCTTCACAGCCCCATGAAGTCTATAATTCCCATCCTGCCTGTCCTCCAAAGATGTTCCTGGACTTCCACACTAGAGAAGGAACTTGGGAGAAAATGTCTGTACAGCAAAAAGAGAGGTAGTTAGTTAAAAGTAGTACAAGGTGAGGACAGAAGTGTCTGTTTTATTCAGATGGCCAGCAGTGAAGAAAAGTAGGGCCCAATCCTACAGACAGGCTGCTTCCCTTCCATTAACCCTACACCTGTGGGGGGTAGGCTCCCACTTTATAACTTTCACACCTTGGGGTTAATTCCTGGGTTTCATGGAACCCTACAGGCTCTCTTCTCCTTTTTCCCTGTATCTGGACATGTGGCTTATGGATAACCGGTAACAGTCTGAATCATCTCACTGTCATTTTGGCAGTGACCTTGGCACTCAGGACAAGGTGGAGTGTCTCAGGCAAGATATCAATGTGTACATTGATATTGCAAAGAACAGCATATGGGAACTTGAGAGAGAGCTTAACGGGGAAGAGCCTGGCTGCTTTTCCATAGGACCTGATTCAATTTCCAGCACCCATAAGGGTTTCACAACCATATGTTCTAGAGAATTCAATACCCTCTTCTGGGGAGAGGCAGGCACCAGCATGCAAATGATGCAGACAGACAGGCAAGCCAAACACTCATACACATTACCAAAAAAAAAAAAAAAAAAAAATTAGCATGGTGGCACATGCCTTTAATCCTAGCATTGGGGGGGAAGAAGCAGACAGGTCTGAGTTTGAAGCAGTTTAACACAGCACACTGGTGGAGCAGAGGATGCCAGAGGTGTAGGGCATGGGATGCTGTAGGCCTTGGGCAGGTGTTCAGATTTTCCTACTGTGCTTGTATGCTTAGCTCTCATAATCCCTGCTACCCAAGATGCTGGTCATCCTGGTCCAAGTGTTTCCATAAGCAGACATGGTGGCTCCGTACCAGGGCTTAAGTGTAATGCATTTTCATGGTGGTCTGCTTCTTGTCTCTTGTCGTCAAACAGCCCACAGGCATAATTAAAAGGGTGTCAGTGCACCTAAGTGGTGAGGGGGCAAGCAGGTTATCCCTTCTGAGGGTACAGCTCACAATGCTGTATTACATCACACAAGGCACTGACTTTGTTCATCTAGAGATTCATTTCCATATATCAGACATGAAATGGACTAAACCTATCTTTGTGGTAATCAGATTACCACTGGGCTTTCATCCCTAGAGATAAGATCACCTCTAAAGCAATCCTCTGGGAGTGGCTTCAGTGATGTCTACAAAGAGGGTGGCGGGGTAATTATAGGGCTAAAACAATATGGGGTATAGCACAACTATGATCCTGTTTCTATCCCTAGCATTGTCAAAGAACAGAAGTATATAATTGGGCCAGTGGGGGAGGGTTGTAATAATTCAGGCACTGGATTCCTTGAAAACAAGGTCTGCTCCTGAGTCGCTACCTGTCTTTAATTCTGTCTCCTTGTTCAGGTGTTGCTGTGGCCTTGAAGCAAGCCATGACTACAGAATTCAAAATATACCAGCTCCAGGTTGTGGCCAACTGCAGGGCTCTGTCTGAGACTCTCACAGAGCTAGGCTACAAAATAGTCACAGGTATACCAAATGCACAAAGTGCTGGGCTGACCTCTCTTGGGTGGGAATATTGAAGTCTTGTCTCTTGGTTCATCTAGTCAGGGTATGGTCTGCCACCACTGCAATGACTCTTGCCATCTCAAGACAGTTGAGCATACCCTCAGCTGTCCTTCTGTGTGCCTTAGTAGCTACCACCTGACACCCAATTTGGGGACTCTGCACAGTCTGGGAAGAGTCAAGACTCACCTGAGAGATGTCAGGTTACAGCTGTCACCCACTTGCAGGTGGCAGAGCCAGCATCCTTCCATCCATGAGGCCAGGACACAGTAGGCTCTACCTGGTTCCTGTCAAGGGTTAATGAAAGTTCAAAGTGGAAAGACCTAGAGGCTTAGGATCTTCTTTATGTCCTCAGGCTTGGTCCAGAAAATTCTGTTATCATCCCTGTTCTCACCTGTTAGTTGTCTTTAACAAGTGCCCCAGACAAAGACAGACTAGCTCACTTTTGGAGTCCGTAGTAGATTAACCCCATTAGCCCTTTTGCTTTTGGGCAGGTGCATCATGGAGCTTGTGGTAGAGCATAGCCATTTAGCTCACAGCCAGGAAACAAGAAAGAGAAGAAGGGGTTGAGATCCCATAGTCCTCCACTGACCTGAAGACCACCTAAGCCTGTCTTTTAGGGCACAGGGGTGGTTTTTCATTATATTGCCCAGGCTGGCCTCCATTTCCAGAATGCTAGGTATGTTATGGCACACAGCACAGTGTCCAGCATCAGGACAGTCTCTCAACAGGTTCTGTCATCTTTGGATAATGCTGGACTAGAGAGCAAGCCTTTAACACCATGAACTTTTAGGGAGCCCTTGAGATCTGAATCTTAGCATTATCTACTACACTGATAGCTCCTTTGAAATTTGAAGGCTTAGAACACAAACCAGATGCCTAAAAAGTTTTGGATTGTAATTTTTGTATTAAAGATGCTCAACAAATAAGGTCTAGCAGATATTCTAAAATGTGAAAAAACTTAAATCATGAAACACTGCTTCTGGTTTTGAGCATTTTGATGGAGGGTGTTCAATCTGTTTTACCAGCATCATGGGGTTTGGAACAAAAGCCTCCTAATAATGTGATTATTACCCCATCTGTGTAATTAATTGAACCCTTATTAAGTCCTTTGGTGCTACTTAAATGGAGCTCTTTTTGTTGTTAGGTTTTTGAGATAAAAGACTCTTGGCTGGCGTCCCTGAGGCGTCGAACTCATGAGATCCACCTGCCTCTGCCCCAGTGCTGGGACTGATTGAAAGCATGTAACACCATGCTATGCCTGTTCCAGAAGGAGCCTCTTAAAATTTGCTTAAGAAAGACTGGGGGCGTGGCTTAGTGTTAGAGCGTTTCCCTTGAGTCATTTGTCACAGAATACGAAAAAAACTGAGTGCTCTTAGGCTTGTGTGGCTCTCTACCATGTTCTGGCACAGGCAGTATAGGCTAGAGAAGTTGCTGGATGTTTCAACCAGAAGTTTCCATACCACTTTGTGTTGTCAACCTTCTATGTCCCATTTTATCCAATGTTGTTTCCAGGTGGTTCTGATAATCACTTAATCCTGGTGGATCTCCGTTCTAAGGGGACCGATGGTGGAAGGGCTGAGAAGGTACTAGAAGCCTGTTCTATCGCCTGCAACAAGAATACCTGCCCAGGTGAGACTCCTACATGGTTTTCTTCCATAGCCCTTCCATCTGCATTTCTGTCAGCCAGTGTTGCAAGTGATTCAGCTTTGGAGACAGACCGCAGTGGGAGAAGGGCAGAAAGGAAAAGGCTAATTGAATGGCACAGCTGGCGAGGCAGAGACTCTAAAACAAGTAGCATTTCTCCTGTCAGGTCCAAAGCCACACCAGAGGACTGCTTTTTACAGGTTAATACAGTGGCCCACATGCTTCTTTGTCTTCAGACCCTAGTTTTTAAGTCAGTTGCCTTCTTGCTAGATCAAGCTGAGATCCACAGACCAGGATCTTTGCCCAACCAATATTTTTATTTTATTTTATTTTTTAAATTGTGGGCACAGTGGTGTGTTTGAAGCTCAGGCCTTATTTGTCTCAAAGGTGACCGGAGTGCATTACGGCCCAGTGGGCTGCGACTGGGGACCCCAGCATTGACATCCCGTGGACTTATGGAAGAAGACTTCAAAAAAGTTGCACACTTTATCCACAGAGGTAAGGGTGAAGTGTTGGAAGTTCAAATGTCTTTCTTGTGTATGGTGTTTCTTGTGGTTTAATAGCTAAGACCCAGCCATTAGTGAAAGCTGGTCTACAGATCCCTCTTGTATGAGGTCTATAAATAAGTACTGCCAAGGGACATATTTATTCCACAATCGTCTGAGGGGAACAGTGACACCTATGAGTTATAGCAGGGTATGTGGTGAAGAAAAGCCCTCATGGCACTCACTGTCTTTTGCACAGGGATTGAGCTGACTCTGCAGATTCAGAGCGACATGGCTGTGAAGGCCACCCTGAAAGAGTTCAAGGAGAAACTGGCAGGGGATGAGAAGTACCAGAGTGCTGTAAGGACTCTGCGGGAGGACGTGGAGAGTTTTGCTTCAAGCTTCTCCCTACCTGGCCTGCCCGACGTCTGACAGAGCTAGAATAGCCAGCATCTACCTCATGGGTAGGACTGCTCCAGGACCCCATGCCCTCTCGACTACCAAGCTGCCCTGCAGCAGCACTAAGCCTGCCCCATGCTTCGGAGGGTGTTTCTGACAGGCTGATTTCAGTTTAGAAATTCTGAAACTTCACTTCTTGGCAGCTGTATATAATTAACTATTCTGAAAAAAAAAGTACTTTGTAGCCATTTGATCTCACTGATTGCAGTATGAGGCAGAGCTATTAAAAATTACAGAATTCTTCTTTCTCCTTTTTCAGTGGGTCCTGTGGCAGGTAAGGAAATGTTAGGTTCACTCTTGTGTTACCCTTGTGTTTTTCAATTTTTCCTATTCTGTTGCCCAGTAGAATGCCAGAGGAGCACTGAATTTTCTGCTCTGAGCTTGAGATTATAAACTAGACAAGTATATAAGCAAGAGTTAGGGTTGGGTGCTCAAAAGATGACTAGGCTGCTCTTCCAGAGGGACCCTGATCGCTAGTACCCACATGATGGATCCCAGTCATCTGTAAGTTTGGTTCCAGGAGATTCAACACCTTCTGGTTGCTAAAGGCACTAGGCAAACATGAGGTACAGACATACATACAAGCAAAATAGCAATACATGTAACATTTTGTTTTAAAGAAAATTACTATCAGCAGTTTGAAATGTTATAGAAGGGCTACGGGTGTCACTTAGAGGTACTGTACATCAAAGTCTGTATGGTTTTGCCTAGGGCCTTGGTTCATGCCTAAGGCACAACAGTCTTATAGAACTGGCTGTCTATGGAAGTGCAAATCTCTTTCTGGTTTGAGAATCAGCAGAGGCCAAATCTTTGTGTTCCACTTTCCTGAGATAACCAGCTCCTTCTTATAATTAGGAACCCACATGCCACCTTCCCAAAGAATCTTTATTTTTCACATTGTTGAATTGCAAACCATCGGTGACTTTTTTTAAATATGCACAATCAAATTTTTACCCACAGAATGTCTACAAGAATTATAGCTTTAAAAAATACAACCAGTTCTTATATTTTAAAAATATCTGAACTCAAATAAATTAATATCTTAAAAAGTACACTCCTCATACTATTTGTTTGGCATTTACGCTGGTTAAACTTTTGTGTATAATGCCTGTGGGACACGGTCACATCAGCAGTGCTCTGGTTCCAGTACTGTGACTGCAGTTTGCAGGTTGAGACTATATTCAGACATTGTGGGACATGCAGTAGTAAAATAGCTTCTTTGAAAATAGCAAGAGTTCATTGCTGACTGCTGCTCACTAACTGCTGTGTGCCTCAGTCCAGCCTGCAGCTCCAGCTGTCCAGTTTAAGATAGTCTGGCCAAGTCTCCCTGGGAGCTGGTCCATTGTTGGTACTGTCTCCACCATGTGAAGACAATTGTGTCTGTTTCCATGGGGTGTGGTGGCATACTGGTCTCCTCATCTCTGACTGTAGGACCACTGTACACTTTAGCAAACTTAATTCCTGCTTTGATGAAGACAACTACACAGCTCCAAGTAGGACTTCCTGGGGACCTACACTGTAAACCAGTAAATCAACACTGTAGGACGAATTTGTTTTTCCCACTGCTACACTTCATCTGTTCCTGCTGTTCCCAAAGCTTAGTGAGTGGGCCAAACTCAAAGACTCAAAGAAAGCTTTGTTTTCAGAGCAAAATAAATATCATTTCTGAAGCCTAAGTATGAGTGTATTCCTTAACAATTCCAGTTTGATCACAGTATTAGGGGGAAGCCATAAAGCTGGCTAATTTGTTCCAAAGTACAAGCCAAGGCACTTTCTTAGGAGCTTTCTAAGGAAGTAGAAAGTAGCCTGAATGGCCTACTGCCATGAGGATTTGGTACCTCCAGAGGCCTTACATACCTGATGATAGATCATCCCTGACTGGGTGAGCTACTACCACCCAACTATTTGGGAGATAAACCATGGCAGTCGTAGCACCCAGGCTGGGGAGTGGCATGGACTGAGTGAAGCAGGCGGATAGCCAAAATGCATGCAAGATAACCTACAAGTTCTGCCTCCAGTACCATATGGCACTACTGGCTTTGATACTTGGCCAAGAAGAAGGGAGGTCTGCTTTCCTAGGACTAAGATGGGAACTAATTAATTTAGATGGGGTTGAAATCCTTTGTACTTCAAATACTGCAACTGAACTAAAAGGACTTAAAAGTCAGATCAGGAATGACAAGTCATGACTGAAGTCCAGTTCCAAGTTTAAGAGTAACTTCAGCTACTTGACTAACAAATCATGGAGGGGTGAAAACATTTGTTTTTGAGACAGGATCTGTGGAGATCAGACATTTGCCAGCATGTGCCACCACCACCTGGCTGAGTTAAAATATATTTGGTTGTGAGCCTAACCTTTAACGACTGAGCCATCTCTCCAGCCCAAGTTAAAATATTTTTATTTCAAGGTTCCTCTGAAGGGAAATGGTGAGGCAGGAGGTGGCAACTCAAGTCAGTAAGTTCCACGTGTCTGTCCCCCAACATTATATAGAAGACCATGAACTGACCTCAACAGCAGAGCGGGTGAATGTTGAGGATTGTACAAGCATGACTTGTACAATGGTAGAACAATGTACCAGCTCAGCTGGATGGTTTTTAAACTGGACAGCTTTTAAAACAGGAAGGGACATAATTGATTGGCAGACAAGTTTTTACCGGTTTTAGTGCCAGGACTCACAATGATAGGAATAAAGAAGAGCTCTGTTATCTTTCTGTGAGGTGTTATTAATAGTACAATTTAAATTCGCCAGGCTAGGGATGTAGTTCAGTTGATAGGGTGCTTGCCTAGTACATATGAAGCCCCAGCTTCATTCCCCAAAACCAAGGAATCTAAGCACGACAGACCTGCAATCTCAGCATGTGGAGGCAGGAGGAATCAGAAGTTCAAAGTCAGCCTTAGCTACAGAGTTCAAAATTGGCCTGGGCTACATGAAACTGTCTCAAAAGAACAAAACAATCAAAAGCCTTACTAGCCTAACACTACAGTTGGAAACCTTTTGTTCTTTGAGACAGGAGTCATTATTTAGCCCTGGCTGGCCTGGAACTCCTCATGTAGATCAGGGTGACCTCTAGCTCACAAGAGATCCACCTGTCTCTGCCTATTGAATGCTGGGATTAGAGATGGTGTACCACCACACCCAATGACCACATGAAAATTTAAAGAGCTGAGTCTTGTTGCATAGGTTTCCACAGCATAGAAGGTACATACACATCTTCTAGATCTCAGTCCTCTAAAGCAGAGGAGCAAAGCATTAACTGCCTCTGTCCAAACTCAGCCCTGATAACTAATCCTAAGAGGAAGCATGATTTTGCCATTAAGTGATCCTTTCAAATCACCACAATAAAGTTTTAAAACTAAAGTCTAAATCTAGACACTGGTTCTGGTGGCACACACCTATAATCTCAGCAATTGGGACATGGAGGCAGAAGGATCAAGAGTTTAGGGTTATCCTTGGTACATTCTGAATCTGAACTCAGCCTGGGTTACGTGAGATCCTGTCTCAAAAGCAAAATAAATCTTAAGAGTTTGACTCCTTGTCAGTCTGTACTTAGTGAGGAGCCATTCAAGAGAGGCACCTGTTTGCCATTTCCACACCTGCCACACGGGACTTCTGCTCACTCCACATCAGTCTTGGCTTTATCTTCTGGGTCACCCTGTGGCTGAATGCCAAGGAGGTACCTGGTACCTGGAGCTCCACTTGAGACCACTCAAGTCTGTGCTTTCAGTGTGCAGAAGGCCAAAGTAGCTGCCTTCCTCAGTGTAGGGAACAGCATTCACCTTCGAGTCCCCATGCTGAGGCTGTAGTACCAGTGACTGACCACTTCCCAGCCTGGCTCTTGAACTCCATCATTGATCCTTGGAGGCTTTAGAAAAGGGCACTTAGCCAACCAGTCAAAGTAGCATTTAGAACACTAAGAAGCAACCGCTGATGAGGGAGCCCATGAGGAGAAACCACAGCAGCTAAGGTGTCTGTAAATACATGTAACAGCCACAGTGACAAAACCCTGGTTTTAGCAAAACCACATCTGTCTAAAGTGAAATGGGGACCATGACCTGAAACTCTGTGTCAAAGACCTGGGTAAGGAACGTGACACAGGAGTGGCATGCTACAAGCCATCTTTGATTACGAGGCTTCTACAGTGTTCCTTCTTGTGAGAGACTTCAGTGGTGTGGCCAGCTGACAGACCTGAGTGCAGGGAACACAGCAAGCATCTAACAGATGCATGCACAGGGCTGATCCGGGTCCAATTTACTGCAGGGTTTTGTTTGCTTTGATAGCAAATTAAAAAAGCAGCAGTAGCAACCAGAGCATCTATTTAGAGAGAAAATATTTTCCTCCTCAAGACAGGGTTTCTCTGTGTAACAGTCCTGGCTGTCGTGGAACTTAGACCTAGTTGGCCTTGAACTCACTGAGATCCGACTGCCTCTGCCTCCTGAGTGCTGGGACTAAAGGTGTGTGCCACCATGGCCTGGCTGAGAAAACTTTTAAACAGGTCTCATATTTTCAAGATTGTGAGAAGCACTCCGTGGAGCAGCTGCATCAGGAGTCCCAGGGAGGTCATGATGATGGCCACTTGTGGGTCACATGGGGACAAGAAGCTGCCTCCTTCTCAGGCTCAAAGTTCTTTGAAGGGAAAAGACTTACATAGGGATGATTTTTAATGATAGGGTATACACTGCCTCCCAGATGTGAACTATAATGACAACAACCTGGAAGCTGGTACAGGATAGCCTTGCTCCCTAAGTTCCAGTCAGAACTCAGTTGTCACCAAGGCCCCAGCCCCCAGGAGAGGTAACAGAGTATGGCAGACCATTCCAGGGGCATCTGAGTTCATGTTATGGCCGAAAAGAGCCAGTGGGCAGCTCCTGTCATGCACAGTGGGGATGGCCTACAGCCTGCTTCATCTACAGCTCTCCAGGTAGTTCTTGTACTGGTTGTAGCTGTTTGACATCTGCTTCCTTGACAGAGGGGAAGATAGGACAAAGGGCCACTTGTGGTCTGCATCCCCCAGGTCTGATGTGTCTCTCCAACTGACCAGAGCACTGTTCTTCCATGTCCTTGTTTCAGAGTCTTCCCTCAGTTATTGGGTTCCAGGAAACCAAGTAAAGGGCCTTGGTAGAGGTAGATGAAGGCGATGGCTGTCCTGTGTAACACACACCACAGTTCCCAGGCTGATTCTGCCACTTGGGTGTCATGTGGGCTTTGGCTACTTAGCCTCATCTTTTCCAGCCCCACAGGGTCTGGAGCTTTCTCTTCCTGCCCAGACTGCTGGTCCTTGGAAAATTAAGGATACCCCCTTATCTGGCAGCCATTTCCCCATGGGACCAAGAGCAGCTGCAGTTCCTCCAGCCACCTCTAGAGAGCGGGGCTCCACCTTTGCTCGGCCTACTTTACACATTGCCCAGAGCAAGATGGGGATCACAACTGCTACCTGTTTCCTTGCCGCTGACACCACAAAGCTCAACACTCCAGCTCAGGCAACCATTTAGTCACAGCAACCCTTCTCCCTCCCCATACCGAGTCACAGGTCTTGGTCACAGTGGCTGGAACCCTTAGATTTTGTACAAAAAGCTGGGGACATAGTCAAACCTGAGCAGGGGGTGGGTGGTCCCAGGTGACTCCCGCATGTAGTGCAGTTTCAACAGCTCAGCCAGGTACTGCACCACCTTGATGTCCTCATTCACTAGTCCCAGGTTGAGCTTTAGGAAGCTGGTTTGTCTGCTGGCCACGGCTTCTTGTGTCTCCTCACTGTGGGCAGGCAGGTGTAGGTGATGGCAGAAGGTGTACAGGAATGCCTTGGAGCAAAGCTGGGTGAGCATGCTCTGGACATGTAGGTAGTATGTGCTGCCCCGCTTGATCTGAGTGCGATGGTCAGCCAGGCGGGGCACCAGTGTACCCCTGTACAGGGGGCAGCGGAGGGTCTTGCTGTCCAGGTCCAGGATGCTTGTATAGCGGCTGTAACGGCTCAGGGTATGGAGGGTTCCCATACTGGCAGGGGAGGCCACCCTGAAAGAGATAGGTCACAGTCAGAAAAAAAGGCAAGCGTTAGAAAAACTGAGACAGATACTTAGAGATGAGAATCACAGTCCCCAAACTAACTCCCATCCAACCAGCATATATTGGCCCTAGAGGAAATTCAAATGCTTTGGTTCCCAAGGCCCTGGGTAATTTGATTCCTGACCTCTGAAGCATCTATTACTTGACTAAGTGGATGCTCCACAGAGTGAGCCAAACTTTCACTGGTGCTTCCAGAGCACCTGCCTATCTGCTCTCCCTAGACCTCCTCAAACCAGACTGAAGCACTTCAGGCCTCTCTCATCTCTGGGCTACTAGCTTAGTCAACCTCCTTTACCCTCATCTCTGAGATGGAGAGATACTTCTCACTGTTACTGTTCCTCATGGGGTCACCAGATGACAAACTAAGTCGCCTCAGGATGGTACCTGGCCTTCAGTGAGTACTGCTATCACTGTTAGTGCTACCACCCATTGTGGTGACTGCTAAGGAATTGTCCATTCTAGAGCCCTGGGGCTACATCTCCCTCCATGTTACGTCCCTACTGCTCAGCAGCATGTGTTCCAAGGGGTGAAGTGGAACAGGCCAAGTGCTCAGCCTTCTGAGGCTGTTCCCTAAAAGCCCCCAAGTTTCTTAGAAAGGCAGAGGTTTCTTTTCTTCCCGTCTCTGTTCAGCTTCTCTCTACAATGCTCCCCTCAGTGCCAGCTGGCTTCCTGTCCACCATGTGGCTGACCTTCAGGCCTGGTTCAGATGGCACTGCACGGTCTCTCCCTTTTAAACTCTGTAATAAGCTCCTAAAAGTAAAACAATACAAAAAAAAAAAAAAAAAAAAAAAAAAACTCAAGTGGGGGTGGGTAGAGTAGGTAGAACATTTGCCTGCCATGCAGAGGCCAGCACCACAAGAACACAAAAAAGCTTCCCTTTAGGGCAGTCTTCCCATAGGGGCTGGCATTTCCCACCTGCCCAGCCAATAGAACTGACAAGATTTTACAGACGACCTTCCTCTAACATTTAGGGCTTTTGTAAGACATGGCACTGTACAAAATGAAATACCACTGGGACCACAACTATGTTTTCCTTCTTGGTGTATTTCATAATTACTTATTAAGCATCTACGACCTAACCAGGCATTGACCTGAGCTGAGATTGCACTGAGTCCTGTCTTCTTCCTCTTCATGGGTGCATTGGACTTGAAAGGAGAGTGGGACCTGGGGCTTGGGGAAGGCCAGAAGACTATGGCCCCAAACCCTGAACCAGTGGCAGTGGGTGGACAGCACACCTCATAAAACAGAGAATTGGGTCCTGCAGGCGAGAAACAGTCCACGAGGGCAATAAGAGGTTTGGAGAGAGCGTCCCTCACCCTCTGCCAATCCTAGTGCCTCAATGGCTTGCCTTTGCCACCCCGCACCGGGGGACCTTGTTAAGTCCACACCAGCTTCTCCATTACATTTAGTTTGCTTTTACTCCCCCTGGGGGTCCAGGCAAATCCCGAGCTCAGTCAGCATGTGCAGCCCCTCTCCCCACTGGGCTCAGCACAGTTCTACCTGTCTGACCCTCTATCTCTGTTGTGATGTCCCAGCCTAGGCCATTTCCGGAAATTTAGATTTGACACTCCCTTCCTCCCAGATGCTGGCTGCTTCCAACATCTTCCATTTCTGCTCCCCATAAAACTCTTCCTCAGGAAACCAAATACACAATCAGGGCCCAGACCTTGTGCTTCCTTACAGTGAACACCGCCTATTCCCCCAAGCCACTGCCACCATCCAAACCAAGGAGGCCCCCAAGCCAGGACCCTGCTGAAGCCCCTACCTCTCCCATGCACTCTCTATTAGAACTGGGTCCTGTTTAGCCACCAGTCCTGATCTTGTCATTGCTGTTTAGCAAGCCACACACCTCTCCCTGACATTCACTTAAAATGATGGGAGAATCATAAGTGGCTGATCCAACCTCCTATTTCCAGGCAGAAGACCTGAGTAGGGGAAAAGAATCAAGGGCCAGGGGAGCTGGTGGTTCCCGGTAAAATCTTTTAAAAAGTAGTCAATGATTACGCATCTGCTGTTGTAACACAGACTTGCCCGCTGACTACAGTAAAGAAGATAGCCTCAGAGAGGTTAGGCTGGTGGCATAGTGAATGGTGAAACGGCTGGATTACCTTGTAATTCAGGCACTGGGCAGAGGCTGGCACTTCACTTAGCTCACAATACTCAGCAAATGACCATTCAGTAAGTCAACTCTATGATTCTATTTTCCTGGAACGCAGGAGTGACCTGCCCAAATTACTGGTGTGGCTGAGCCAATGCAAGGTGACACCCTAACTTCAAATGTGAGAAGGACAAGCTTTAGTGATTCCTCACTTCCAGAACAAATACAACAGCAGAGTACAAGCTTTGGGAGCTCTATGTCTTCCTCAGTGACAGCCACAATTCTTTACACCAATGTGAACTGGAGTCAGAAGGAACATAAGACCTTCAAGTCCAATCATTCTCTGATTGCACCGGACCAAGACTCCAGTTCTGTTTTTAAATTATTTATTTTCTGTGTATTGGTGTTTTGCCTGCATGTATGTCTATGTGAGGGTGTCAGCTCTTGGAGTTACTGACAGTTGTTAGCTGCCATGTGGGTGCTAGGAATTGAACCCAGGTCCTCTGGAAGAACAGCCAGTGCTCTTAATGACTGAGCCATCTCTTCAGCCCCAAGACTCCAGTTCTTATGTCAGACAGACCAACTGATTCAAACACACACACACACACACACACACACACACACAGAGTAATTCTCCCAAACATGGAAGCAGGAAGGGGCCAGCGTTGGCAATCACTTAGCAATTGTGAACCCCCTCCCCATGACAGAGAAGGCAGTGAAATCAAGAGTGATTTGCCAAAGGTAAGAACAGTGAGTTGGGTTATCCATTGTCCAGAAAGCAAGCTTCCCTTTCCCGGGGGCCACAGAACAAGCTGCTTCATCTCTTAGTCTAGTGCTCTTCCCCACCACCTGGAACCAGTTACCTCTGTAGGCCAATAAGCTTCCACTTCTGAAAATCCATAATATGCAAAGGGGAGGAAATCCAGTGCTTCACTGGCTTGGCATAGTAGCCATAGCTGGGAACAAAGATGGACAGTGCGGCTACAAGCTTCCTGACTATGGTTTCATCTTCGCCCAGGACCACAAGTGTCCTCCCACTAAGTAGGGAGTAGATGGCTGGGTGGGCAAAAGGGTACTGGCGGATGAATTTTAAGGCGTTCTGGCCAGCTCTCTTTTTGTGTCTCTCAGAGGATAGGCTAGCAGAGTGAGCAGAGGGGATTCTGTCTGAGCTGGTGGAGGCCACACTACCCATGTAGCTTGTGGTATCTGAATAGTTATCCAGGCTCGTCTTACTAACATCTCGGCTAGCCAGAAGGCAGCCTGGATTCAGCTCATTAGCAGGGAACATTTCACAACTGTTGTCTTGGGAAGGATCAGTGTTTTCCATCATGATGTCCACATGGATCCCCTGGTCCTTCTGCCTGTAGCGCTGTGGGGGGATGCTCACCACACCATCCTCATCAGAGAGAGTGTAAGCTGCGGTGGGAAGAGGAATCATCAGACCTTCACTCTCCTTTCCAATACAGCAGCTAGAGTCTATTTGGGATGGGGTATTTTCCAAGCTGCCCTCCTGAGTCTCACCCAGTTCTGGTGGGCTGACACTTGCCTGGAAATGGATGGCCCCCTCATCATCTGCATAGGTTTCTTCCTCATTAATGGCACTTGGGTAGCTGGCCTTAAAGTCATCAGGAATGAGGGCCTCCGATGGGCAGGTGCTTAAGACTTCAATACTGTCCTCACTAATTGTCCTGTGGCTGACTGCCTTGCTACGGACGACATGGGGACTCATCGGCACTGTGAGGCTGGCCTGACTGTCAGATTTAGACAGCACAGAGGATGACTTCTCTGTGCCCAGAACCTCGATGCTCTCCCCACTGCTGATGCTCCCTTTCATATCCATGTCCAGGTAGTCCAGGTTTTCTTGGAGGTCAAAACCGCTCGATTCTGTTGCCTCCACTTCCTTGTACTCGTCATCTCCAAGTTCCTGCTCCATCTTGATCAACACAGACTCCACACTGGACTTGTAAGAACCAACACTAATTAACACTTTAGGAATGGGGCATTCTTCCACAGGCCTGGAAGGCAGCCTATCCTGACTGGGCTGAGAGGGCACATTCTCTTGTTTCTCCATCCTGTCATCAGCCTCCACAAAGTCCTCAAAGAGGAAATTTGTTATGTGCTGTTGTTTTCGAAGTGCTCTGTCAATCTGACTGGTCAGGAGGTAGCACAAGTCCCCTCTGAACATGTGTTCAATGTGGCTAAGGTGGGCCAGGGTCTGAGTGAAATACTCAGTGTCACAGAGTTCCTCCAAGGTCTTCAACTTCTTGTCAAAACACTTGGTGGACTTTGCTTTGATGAGTTTTGGGGTGTAAGCTGGTCTGCGGGTATAAAGGTCTGCATCAGCTGACTCCTCAGGGTTAGAGGTAGTGGATACCTGGTCAGCCTGATCTTGGGTATGCTCCGTATCACCAGGATGCAAATCAGGTATCTTCATCTTCTGACGAGGGTATGAGCGGATCTGCCTCAACAAATCTTGATGCTCAATGATGGACTTCTCCACATTGGCCAGTTCATTGGCTTTCTCAATTGCCTGAGATGTATAAAAACCTTTGTCATTGGCTTTCTTCTGGATCTCAGTTTCTGTGTTCAGCACTGTCCTTGTGTAATCCAAGTCTTTCAGCTTTTTTTCAAGTTCCCCGGCAAATGCCTTCCTGTTACCCATCTTCAAGCACTCAGATGCTTTGGAAAATTCAGCCGAAAGCTCCTGGAATTGCTGCATGATTTTATGCTGGTCTGCAGATATATAAGCCATACAAAAGGGCCTCACAAAGCCACGGGCCTCCAGGTCATACAAGGTAAGGTGGTGCACATATGCAAAGGCCCCTTCCTTAGAGTCTCCCAGTACCACTTTGGAGTCCTCCACAAAGTTCAACTTCGGGTAGGCAGAACCAGGAGGATGACCTACGAATGAAGCCTGGTAATCCACTGACATGATCCGCAAGGAGAAGTAATTGAGATCAAAAGTGCCAAAAACTTTGGTGTCATTGGGGATAGTCAGCAAAGGCTGAGGTCCCACCTGCTCAGAGAACTCGGAAATAAGGATGAAGTCCCTGGAGAACTTGGCCCCGGACAGTTTAGACCAGGGGTTAGCCCCCTGGCTGGCATAGGGGAAGAGAGGGACCGAGTACTCCTCTGGCAAGGCGGGCTCATTGTAAGGCTCTTCCTCGTACTCGTCTTCCTTGGTGAAGGCCACCACATCAGGGGCGCTGATCATATTTCCTGAAATACGGAGAGAACATTGAGAGGAAATGGAAAATAATGCGGGGTTAGTCGGCAGTGAAGTCCGGCCTCTGGATGAGGAAGCGAAGCTCTTGCGGCCTTCTTTGCACTTCCAGGGGTTCTAAGCTGCCTCTCACACACCCAAGAATCCAAATCCCCGAAGATTCTCAAGGTTTGGAACCTGGGAAGCCCTGAGAAGTCTCATGAACTCCAAAGCTGCAAGCCCAGATGACGGAGAAGTGTAGCTACTCTCCGGATGCTTCCCCGGCCGGCGTATGGCTTCTGAACCGAGGTCACTAGCACTCCCCGGAACCTACCAGTGACATCAACAGTCCCAGCTCTGATCAGGTCCTTAATCCCAGTCACGCGCGGCTGCAGTCAGTTAAATGGGCCTCCTCACGACCTAAGGTTAGAAACTGTCGCGGTTCCTAGGACTGTACTGTCCCACGGAAGCTACCGCGGAACCACCATCTTGGTATCACATGACTCCCAAGCATCAGCGTCGCGTGACCCGGAAACGCTCACTGACTTCCGAGTAAGTGATGCCTTTTAAGTCACTGTCAGTCAGTCCCCCCCCCCCCCCCCCCCCCCAAGAACAAGCCCCATTAACCAACCACTGTCCTAAAGAAAGGGAAAGTAGGGTACAGCGGGGTGGAAGGGAGGAGGAGAAACAGCGTTAGGTGAGCGTGCTGGGGCATGAAGCATTCTGGGAGTTGTAGTTCGAGGCTGCTCGGTTAGCGGAAGTTTGCCGTGAGCGCGAGTTTAAGCGGGATTCTGAGTTGTGGGTTCCACGTTGAGGCTGCAGTGGCCTGGGAAAGGTGCAATATTAAAGTGGCTCTCGGAGGGGTGTCACGTGGCTTCTTCTCTAGGTTCCCCAACATGTACGGGGCACCGTGGAGTTGCTGCTGGCGCAGGGCCTAAGGAATGATTTTCCCAATCACCCTCTTAGCGTTCCAGTGGCAGCGACGGCCTGGAGGCCGTGCCCTGTCCCGTGCTGCCATGGAAATGGCCTTCCGAGGAGTGCGAAAAGTTCTCTGTGTAGCGGAGAAAAACGACGCTGCCAAGGGGATCGCCGACTTGCTGTCCAATGGTCGTATGCGGCGGGTAAGAAGCATTTCAGTTCGTCTTCCTTGAGGAACGCCCACAAAAAGTTAGACCGTGCGTTGAGTACTCAAAGCCTAGGCGAAAGCGACTCCGCCTATAGTGCGACAGAGGCCCCTTCTAATCCTCCCTCACCCCTCAGGCTGTCCTTAGACTTAGGGATGCTTTAAACGTAGGCCTTTGATGGCATTTAATAGATCTTTGCCCATCGTCCCTGTCTGATTGTCTCAAATACCTGTGGACGATGGGTCTTCTGTGAGTCTGGAGCGATTGCGAGCAAACATGTATCCTGTATTCTTTCTTGTTGAGTCTGAAGTTCAGTTGAGTTGGAAACCTGTACCAAACTCCTTTTACTTGGCGTTCAAGCCTTTCTTATCGATCCTACTATCCCTGCATGCTGCAGTCCCAGTGACTATGTCTGGGTGGCAACCCTAGGAGTAACACATAGGACAGTCTCTTGACAAAGGAAAAAAGGAAGATGGAAAGGGTAGCAATCCCAAGAACTGTTGCATTATCACTCAGTTGGAGGTACTTCCTATATAAGCTCTTAGTTTCTCTTTGTAAATGACAGGATCTCTAGACCTCTGCCTCTAGTTCCGAAATAGTGGAAGGGAGCCAAAGTTGGATTGACACTGCCCCCCAACTTCACCTTTCCAAGTGTCAAATATCCTTGAGTAGCAATTTCTTTTATGGAGATAAGGTTTCACTATGTAGCCCTGGCTAAGGAAACCAGGCTGGCCTTGAACAAACAAGAGCTCTGTTTGCCTCTGCCTTCCAGGTATTTGGGTTACTGGTTGACATCTAGCCTAACTACTGCTTAAATGTCTATCTGTCTCTCTTTTTCATCTATGGCTACATGTATGCTTGTGTATCATATGTATGCCCACGGAGGCCAGAAGTGGGTATCAGATCCCCTAAGAACTGAAAGTACAAATACTGCTAGGAATCAAACCAAGTGCTCGTAACCACTGAGCCATCTCTCCAGCCCCTTAAATGTTTATTTTTAAGGACCCCACCTCCCCACATACTAATCCCCCACTAAGCCTGGGATACTTCCTCTCTGTCTCTCTTTGATTTTCTTTATTATTTTTCTATTTTGTTTTCCAAGACAGAGTGTAGTGTAGCCCTGTGTCTTGGGACTAACAGTATAGACCAAGTGAAGGATATTTTTTTTAAAGATTTATTTATTATGTATACATTCTGCCTACATATCAGAAGAGGGCGCCTGATCTCATTATAGATAGTTGTAAGCCACCATGTGGTTGCTGGGAATTGAACTCAAGACATTTGGAAGAGCAATGAGTACTATTAACTTCTGAACCATCTCTCCAGCCCAAAGCCAGGGATTCTTATTAATGTACCATCATGACACGTAGTATGTCCAAGCTAGAATAACAGAGCATGTTGCTGCTTTTCAGAGACCAATGAGTACATAGGAACAGCATTTTTCAAACAGTGCTTTCTTTGGAGAGCTGGCAATCTTAGAAGACAGTCTTTAGCTTGCAGATTATGTAGGGAGAATGGGGGTTAGGTAGAGAAAGGATAGCTGTCAAGTCATTACGAAGCTTAGTCTTGTCCCCTGGTTAACCCATTTTGAGAATTGTTATGGTCTGTAAAGATAAGTAAGAAGTTTGTAGGAAGAATTAAAAGATGAGAATTTAGGTGACCTCAAACAGCTAGAGCAGTCCTTATTTAATGCCGGAGAGGTGGGTTTATAGTTCTGATTATGCATGATCAGGGCACAGGACCTAGGCCCTGGATGACCAGAGTTCAAGAAAATATCGTTACTTGCTTTAGGTTGAGGTTTTAAAGCTAAGGAGAGGGAACAGGACAGGGTTGAGAGAGATTTATTTGGGGCAGAATGAGGATAGTTAGATAAGCTGTCTGTTGTCTCTCTCTCTCTTTCTCTCTCTCTCTCTCTCTCTTTTTTTTTTTTTTTTTTTTTTTTTTTTTGCTACCACTGGGTGTCTGGAGTTGGACCAGCTACCTTCTACAGTCTTCAAGTACCTGCTTCCTAGAACTTTGGACTCAGTTTCAGGACCTTGGCTTTTGGTCAGGGGGTTCATGCTTCAATTTGGAGGAAATGTCTTACAGCAACCTTAAGTGTGTTAAGTGTGGGTGGTAGTAGTATAATCATTTTACTATCTAGTTGTAGAAGGAATGTCGTTGTTTGCTCTGTCATGCTCACCACCATTAACCTGCTCTGTTACTGAAAGGAAAAGTATTGACTCAGGACTCCCAAGGTCATGTTCTCAGCATAAAGATTTATTTGCCCCAGGGGACAGAAGGCAGGGAATAAGAGAGAAGAAACACAGGAGATAGAGGACAAGGGAGAAGGGGGAGGGGGCCAGGGAAAGTGGTAAGGATATTTGTCCCTGGGGGGACAAAGGACTGCCCCTGGATAGAGAGAGGAGACAGACAGACATGGCACATAGGAAAATGGAAGTTTGAAAAGGTAAAATGGGAAATCCCATGTTAGGATGAGGTGTTTAATTTTAATTGGATATTAGGTGGGCCAAAGGGCTTTTGATTGCTGGACTTTAATACTTTGATAGCTGGACCTTCGTAGTCAGCCTCAGGAGAAAGAAGTGGCCAAGTAAGGGAACAGACCTTGGTGGCTAGCTTTAGGGATATAATCTAATAGTTTTTAGAAAGGCAGAGGGAATGGGGGAGAAGGGCAAGGCCTGCCAGAGCTATGTACTCCATGCTGGAGCTGGCCAGAGTGCCTTTAGTTGTTGTTAAGTGGGGGTTTGGATTTCTGAGTTAGGGTCTCATTCATATAGCTGAGGCTGACCATAAAGTTGCTAGGTAGTGGAGACTAGCCATAAACTTTTTTTCTTCCTTTCTTTAAACTGGAATAACCAATTTATCTTATTTTTATTTTTCTGTATGTCTGTGTGAGAGCGCACACCATGTGTTTGCTTGTGCCCTTCAAGACCAAAAAGAGCTGAACCATCTCTATATCTCTATACAACCCATATGTAAGCTTGTTGTGAGATATTTCCTCTGAATTGAATCCTCCCACCCCAAAAGCTAATATCTTAAAACTGAACTCATAGTTCCAAGAAGTAACTATTTGGGCATTGAAGAAGACAGCTGGCCCAACTCCAGACACCTAAGCGTTGAAATCTTGATTTTCCTGTCCCTACCTTCCAACATGATCATAGAAGTATGACAAGCTACATAGCACTAATCCACTTTCTGTCCTCATGGATTTGCCTAGTCTAGACATTTCTTATAAATGAAAACAAAGCATAGCTTTTGTGTCAGATTTATTTCATTTAGCTTAATGTTTTTGAAATGTATCCACGTTGTAGCATATATTACTACTTTGTTTCTTCTCATGGTTGGTCATTTTACTGACTAGATGGATTGAGGGGCATTTTGAGTTAAATAGGACTGTTGTAAACTGATTTGCAAGTTCCTGTTTGGATAGCTATTACAATTATGGGAGTCCTACCAGTGGGATTGTTGGGATATGTGGTAGCTACCTTTACCTTTTTCAGGACACCACACTTTTCTACATGCTTTAAAAACACTTGCATTTCATGTTGTTTTTACTTTATAACCATTCTAGCAGGTCTAAAATGGTACTGTGTTTTTAATTTACATTTTAATAATGGCTCATTGGCCAATGATACTGAGTTACTTTTCATGAACTTGTGGGCTATTTAGTTATCTTTTTGGGAAGGATTCGACTGTGCAACAAACCTAAAGCCTTGCATGGGCTAGGCAACTGTCCTACCACAGAACTGTATCCTAGCTCACTTCTAATGTCATTGTCAAATACAGTGTCAGAAAAATGTACTTACATATTTTTTCTTGAGAGTCTTCCAGTTTAAATTTTTATTCGTTCATATATTGTGTCTGTGCCTGTGCATGTGTAGGTGCACATGTGCCACAGCATGTGTATAGAGGTCAGAAGAATACTTGTAGGAGTAGGTTCTCTCTTCCATGTGGTTTTCAGGAACCTAACTCAGATCTTCAGGTTTGGCAGCAGTCACTCTTACCCTCCGAACCATCTTGCTGGCCCGAAGTTAGTTGTCTTTGACCTAATTTTTTAATTCATATCTCTTTGTGTATGTCTCACCTTATCCTTTTAGTATACGGAGATCTATTTGTTCCAGCTACGTTTAATTTTTGTGTAACACTTAGATAAAAGTTGGGGAAAACCAAGCACTTTTAAATAAATCCTGACTAAACATACATTTTTTGTTCTTTACGCCAGTCCTTGTAAATGCTGTAAAGAGGAATCAATAACTTAAGAGAGCTCTATTGGTTTAAGCAGAGGTTTGATTGGACTTTCACTTTAGAAATATTAATATTATGTAGCATTTCTAAGTTGCATCTTCTGTATGCTTTCTATAACTTACTCAGGCTTTCCTGATTTGTCTCAATCTTTCTCATTT